AGGGTGTCTAAATCCTCTATGTATATTAATTTAAAAAATTATTCCTGTATGTAGTAACTTTTTCTAAATAATCAATGTAGATTATTTGGAAAATTTCCTTACTTGTCTAACCAAAAATTTTGAAATTAATAAAATTTAATGATTTTAGATTTTCATTGAAAACAGTCTGAGATTGACTCAATAAATCCATTAAATAAAAAGAATTGGCAGCTAATTAAATAAAACAAAAAGGAAGATGATTAGAGAGGGAAATTAAATTGATTTAAATTATTTAAAATTTAAGAGATTAAATAAATATAAGAATAATTCAAGTAATAAAATCCAAAAAATAAATTTTTAGTTTTCTGTTTCTCAATAAAATTCAATTTAATTTTTTTTCATTTTAATTTTTTTGATTATATAGAATGGATCTCGATATCTATAAGGGCCAGTCGGCACTTTTTTGATTAAAAATTAGTATCGAAAATAAAAAAAAATTTTTATAAATTAAAATTTATGTATAATTTTTCTAAACTAAAAGGTATATTAGTAGATTAATTTTTGTTTATAAAAGAGGCAACCGAAAAATAAACAGTTGTTTATATGAATATATTGGGATTTTTTAATCAATGAAGAATAAACAAAAAACTTTAAAAAATATTAGAGGAAATATTAGAGAAGAAAAAAAACAAAATTTAAATAAATTTAAAAAATCTCGAAATGGAAACCCGCTGTAACCAAAGAATAAATTTTTTAAAACGAAAGTCTCCTATTGTTGTGGGTTAGTTGTTAGGAGTTTTGAGGGTACATAATTAACATATTGTGGCTTAAACATCTTTAAAATCTTTGCGCAACCTCCAATTCTCCAGTCAGTTGATATTTAAAAAAAGAAAAATTAATAAAGATACCCTATCATAGAATCTCTAAATTAATTAATAACATAAAAACTAACAAAGAGTCAATACAAACTTTGACACGGATAATTAAACAGATAAAATTAATAATAATTAAATTAATGATAATTAAACATATGAATTCATTTCATAAAATTTAATTTTAATTTCTATTCTGTTTTAATTTAAATATTTATTTCCATTTCTTTTAACTAAAAATTTAATTTGCCAAGGAAAGAAAATAAAATTTAAAAGAAAATGAGGTAATCTAAAATTTTTGAATTAAAAGTAGGCATTAAAAATTCATTAAAAAATAAATAAAAAATGAAATGAGTGATTAAATAAAAAAAAGATTTGGAGGGAAAGATATTTTGAGATAAAATGACGTTAAAAAAAGAAGTGATTGGGGATTGGGAATGATTGAATAGATTAATTGTGAAAATAAACAGAAGAATATACCTACTTACTTACTATATTAAATATATCAATTTTCAAAAAGTACAACAACTAAAAAAAGTAAAATTGAAAAAAAGTATTTTAATGCCAACTGTTTCTAAATTAATATAAAAATTAAATAAAATATTTTTGTCATTTATTTAAAAAATAAAAAAAAATATATAATTTTAGAAAAATTGCAAAAAAAAATAAAAAATATATTTTAAATGAGGAAAAAGAATAAAAAGTAAAGGAAAATTCTTTCTTTTAAAAAACCTTCTCCAATAATTTACTTTTTTAAAAACAAAATTACGTAAAAAATGGAAGAAACGCTTTTTCTCAATTTATTTTTTTAACAAAGTTTAAAAGAAAGTAGAGACAAACAGAAATTATTCTGGCGGAAATTTTAAACTTTTAAGGATTAGAAAATAAAAGTTTTTTTGAGGTTTAGAAGAAAATTTAAATATTTGGATATTTAAATAAATAAAAAATATTTTTTTTGAAAAAATAAAAATCACTAAAAGCCACAGACCCACCCACAGAAAACCCTCCTCCCCCCATAATTATACAAAAAATAAAAATAAACTGTAACTGTGTAAAATAAATTTCTAGATATTTTTATAGCCTCGTAAATTAAATCCTAAAAAAATATTTCTATGAAATGATGCCCAAAAAATAAATTCAATTATTATTTAAAAATTCAAAGTACAGACTTTAGTATTTTTTAAAGTTTTGGATTTATATAAAAATATTTTAATAAAATATTCAAAAAATATATTACCGGAAAAACATAAAAAATAAAATTTATTATGCAAAATAACAAAAAAGGAATGTATAACATCATTTTCTTAATTAAATTGAATATAAAAGCAAGGAGAACTTTGAGCTTTTATTTTTAAAATAAAGGGAAAAAAGTTTTTCTTTAAATTAAGTTTAGCAAAAATAAAATTTTGCAAGACTCCCAACAGGTTGAAAAAAAATGTTAGAAAAAATAAAATCATTAATTCATTCAAAAACAAAACTTACCCCTTTATTATTTCCATTATGTAAAAACATTAAAGACCGACAATTTTCACAACTATTAGCTAATATTTGAACAATTTCTAATTCACAAACACTCGCTCCTCGACATTTTTGTTTTCTTTTATTTAAAATAATGCTGCTATTTCCACTTTCTATAGTATCTGAACGTGAACGAATCTCTCCTTCTTTTTCTTCTTTTTCTTCATTAATGCCAAAAACAGCAGAAATTTTATTATTTTCTTCGTCCTTTCTTTTCGGCATTCCGTCAAAAAAATGATTTTTACGTCGATGTCTTTCTCTAATAATATTTAGGGGAGTACTACAAACTTCTCCAATTATTGGATTAAAATAACAACCCACTCCGGAGACTGGGGGAGAATAATAATGATGTTTTAATAAAGATTTTGGTGATCCTGCTCCAGTTACTAGAAATTAAAATTATTAGAGAATGAAGGGATAAAGTAGGCGAAAATAAAAATTTTGAAAAGAAGAATCGAGGGAAAAGAAAATGGAATAAGGGACAATAATTGGAAGCAGGAATATTATAAAGGGATTTAGGAACATAAATAAATCCTAAAAGTCAATTTAAGAGAATTGAAGTAACCCTTTATCAAAATGGATTATTCTATTGTGAGAATCTTCAGACCTCTAATATTATCTATAGGATTGGCTTATCCGGCGGATATGCGAAAATTTTCGGTTCTGATATCGGTTCCGGATATTCGGAGATTCCCATTACCCTCAACCCTAATTATTTAGTTCTTAAAATTTGTGAGGGTCTTTTTCAAGGCTGTCGCCAAATACGGATTTTTTCGTTCGAGCTCAGCTCCTGTTAGAGATTTCCAAAAAATAAATTCAATTTTTATTAAAATATCACTTAACACAATTTCCTTCTATATATTTTCCCTTAAATAAATATAGAATACCCACTCAAGCGTCTAAATCCAGGATCTCTTTTAGCAATTTGTTGCCCCGCCTTTAATAAATTTTCCAAATCTGAATGTGCTCTCATTGACTTTTTTAAAAGCAAGGGGGGTGGAGGGACTAAAATTCTTTTTTTGGAATCTGGAATTGACGGTTTATTGCTTAAAAGTTTTTGAAGTAAAATTTTTTGTTGTTGTTGAGGCTGAGGCTGGGAGTGAGGTTGGGGAAGAGGTTGTTCTTCTTCTTCTTCTAATATTAAATATTCCTCCTCTTCTTCTTTTACAGAAATTTTATTAGTTTTTTCTGCCATTTTTTTTTGTTAAAAAATATTTTTTGTAATTATTTTTATTTGGTAATGACGTGTTTTTCTTTTATTAAAAAAACAAATTTTAGTAATGGATTAAATTGTTGTTTTTTTGTCTTTAATTGCTTTTTTACCCAAATCTCAATTAAAAATTAAATTAGTAAATATTTTTTTGTTTTAATATTGATATAAAATACTTCTTTAATTAATTAATAAATACAATTATATAATTAGAATTTTTAAAAATAAAAATATAAAAATATTTAAATAAAGAAAAGAAATATCCCCTAATTTTTTTGTAAAAAATCCAGAATTTTTGGCTAAAAATTTATAAATTATGATTTAAAAAACTAGCGGAAATGGGCATTTTTACATAGAAATTAAAGGATTTTTATGTAGAATTTATAAAATTTTTAAGTTGCTTGATATTTGTTTATTTATAAATAATTGAGAGTATTAATTAATTAATTTTAGTTTTTAGTACAAACATCTTAAAACTTAAGACTTTTAAATTTACTTTTCTAAAAGCTTTTCAAAGTATTAATTTTTATTATCCCATAAATTAATTTTTTATTGCTTATCTCCCTTCACACAAAAGTTAACAGAATTTTAAAAGGCCTAATCTTAAATTGAAAGGGATATCTATGTATGGTATGTAGTATTGAGGGGGGTATTGTATACTTTAATACCTCCACCTTATTAAATTCTTAAAAAATCTTTTAGAAAATATTTTTAAGAAAAAGAATATTTTAATAAAAAAAATAAAACTTGTGTTTGTGTGTGTAATACGAGCAAAATCTGTCGGCATTAAAAATAAAAAAATCGTCAGAGCGAAAAAATAAAAATGCCTTAAGTAAAATAAAAAAATCTCCTTTTTATTTCTAATTTACACTTTTGCTTTGCCATTTAATAGTATTTTTATCTGGTCAATTATTTTGAGGCAAAAATTGTTTTTTATAAAATAAAAGAAAATTTATGTGTACTTTACCTACTAAATAAAATATTTTACTCAATATTCTTTAAAGTCAAATATTTTTTTAAATAAAAAGGAAATGGAAAATTAAAATTAAAAAAATGAAAGAAAAAATTTAATAGGCAGAAAAATACAAAAATATAAAGGAAATAAAAAATTAAAAAAAGTTTAGTATAGAAAAATAAGTTAAGAAATATTTAAAAAATTTTATTTTAATAAAAAATTACTGGATATTTTTTCAAAATATTTTTAACTAAATTTAAAAATTCCCTATTTTTCTTTAAAAGCTAATTTAAACAAAAAAATCAAAGGACCTCTCTATTAAAAGTTAATCTCTTTAAATCCTAATCAGTTTTTAAAATTTGCTTGGCTCCCAAACATCAAAACAATCTCCCCAATATAATTTTTTAATTATCTTATGAAGGAGGTCCTTCCTCTCTTCTCTCAATAAAAAACGAAAAAAACCCACCATTCCAATATTTGTTTCCCCATTATAAGGATTATCGGCAACATGAGGAATGCCTAGATCAGTCAAAGCGGTCTTTAAATTAATTGGTTTTTAAATTTAAAATAAATTAATTTACAGCAGAAGCACTTCCATCAATTAAATTCCCTCCTCCTTTTTGATTTATTAAATTTCCATCAGAATTTAAAAGAACAGTTACAGCTCTAAGACAAGCAGTTACTTGGGGGGATAAATCCCGTCTTTCGTTGTTACTGGCCAATAAATCCATTAAAAGACCTCTTGCCGAATGGACTTGGCTTAGATTCTTTAAATTAAAATTAAATTAATTTGGAGATTAAATTAATTATTTTAATTAATTGAAGAGAGAGAACAATAATAGACTTCTAACTAGAGCCCGGAATTTCGTACCGTACCGTATTCCGTACCGTACTACCGTATAATACCGATACCGATAAATACCGATGAAATTCAAAATTCTTCCGTACCGTATTACCGATACGGAATACCGAAAAATACCGATACCGATAAATACCGATAAAAATTAATCGGTATTCCGTACCGTATTTTTAAAAAATTAATTTATTAAAAAATAAATATTTTTATATAAAAATTTGTAGGGATAAAGTCGCATATTGAAGAATTGCAGGGATTAGTATGGATTTGGAGGGATATCTGAGTATCTAGAGGGATATAGGTGGATTTTGAGGGATTAAGGAGATATGAATTGATATCATCGTCTTAAGGGGAATATCGTTAAGTTTGTACTATTAAGGGTGATCCGGAGATTTGATGATTATGGTGGATATGAGTGGATTAAAGGGATTAAGGCGATTTAAAAGATATCAGCGGATTAACCGTAAAATTCCTCCTTACCCTTCTTGACAACAATTAACCTTCAATTCCCTCAATATCCCTATTCCCTCAATATCCCCAAAGCCAGATATCTCTTAATCCCTAGACTTGAACGTAAAACCCATTAAATCCATTTAATCCACACAAATCCACTTAATCATCACAAACCCTCTCGATACATCTGATAATCCCCTAAATCCAGTCTTGTTTACTCATAATCCCTCTATATCAGTCCATCGGACTTAAACACTTTCAGCGACGCAAACGAAAATCTTGTGAAATTTTCGAAAACCAAGGGAAATATTTCTTAATTTTTCTGATTCTTCTTCTAAATCTTGAGAATTTTAAAATCCATGAAGTTGAATTTCATCCTATTATAGCGCCGCAGGCAAAAATTTTAAGAATTTTCAATGGCCAAGAAGCCTTTTTTCCCTTAAAATATAATAAAATTTTGAAAAATTTCATCGGTCGGTAGTATCGGTATTTTGATTTTTCCGTACCGTATTACCGATACGGAATACCGAAAAATACCGATACCGAAAAATACCGATAAACTTGAAAATCTTATCGGTCGGTATTCCGTATCGTACTACCGATACGGAATACCGATAAATACCGAAAAATACGGCCGTAGTACGGTACGGTCCGGGCTCTACTTCTAACTATAAAGGATTGAAAAATAATGTTCAGGCAATATTCTTTAGAATGGAAATACCAGTGGTTGTCCAGGTAAAATAAAAAAACATAATTTTCTTTTAGATTTCCGAGCATAATAAATATAGTTAAGTCAGGGTTCTGATCGAAAAAATGTCAAGTGTAAGTACAAAAAGTTTAATTTCAACCACATGAGAAGGAAAATTTTCAAAATATAATTACGCTACAAAATACAATTTAAAAAATTTATTCTCACTCAATCTATTATATTTCTCTCACAAAGGAGTTTTTTACTGATCAGAACCCTGAGTTAATTACTGTTTATATTATAATTTAAAAAAATTTTTTAGAACGAAAAACCAGAATATGGTAAAGTTAGCTAATTATGTTAGTATATCCACAATTAATAGCCATAAACTTATTCTATATTTAATTATTTAATTAAAAACAAATAAATTCTAAAAAAAGTTAAAAATTAATTTTTCTATTTCTTTTTTAGTTTAATATTTTCCCAATTTTTTAATTTGTAAAAATCATTCATCAAAAAATTGTTAAATTTTAAAGAGTCCAAACGGAAATGTTTTTAAAGAAAATTAATTTCAATGAAAATGTTTACTCATAAATAATGAAAAGAAATTTTTTTAATTAAAAGAAGGGAAGGAAAAATTAATTAAAATTATTATTCTATATTAAAAACCTCTAATTTATGTACATTTAATAATTTTAAAAAATGGAATTTCTTTAAACGAGGAAAAGTCGCCTCTAATAGGATACACTAAATAGAGATCTCTAGATAATTTAAAACAGTAAATAAAAGAAATAACCAAATTTTGGCGATTTGACTGAACAGGTAAAGAAGTGCGGCGAAAAGGTGGAGGAGATAAATTAGTGGAAGAAGTAATTAAATTATTTGGATGGATGGAAGATAGAGAGGCTCTTTGACGATTTTTGTGTTTTTGCTGCTTTTTCTCAGTGTTATCGGTAATTGTTGGAGGAGATTCTTTTTTAGAAAGAAAAAATAATTATTGAAAAATTAATTAAAGATGGATAAAAACATTTTGTAAAAATTAAATGTTTGTTTGGACCGGGATTTGAAAAACGAGAAAGGAGGAGAGGGGGATTACACAGAACTTCGATGGACTATAAATTTTTTGATACCAATTTTTATTTTTGAAAATATGAATTTATTGCCAACAAAATTGGGTTTAAACAGTGGAAAGTAGGGATGCATAAGACCGAAAATTTTCCTAGACTCGAGACCAAGACTGGGCCCTAAAAAACACGAAAACCGAAGTATTTGAAAGTCTATAATCTCCTTATAAATTATTAAAAATCTCCAAAAAAAGACAAAAATATTTTTTTAAATTATTTTACCTTCAGAATTTAAAAAGAAAGTAACAACAGAACGTCCTTCCCCCAAAACAGAATTACTATTATTATTTGAATTTGAATTTTCTTCCATAGAATATTGTCTAAATCTTCTTCCATTTTTTCCTTTAATTATTTCTGAATTTAAATTTGGATTTTTTAATATAGATTTTGTATTTCCATTATTAAATAAATAATAATCAGAATTTGTTGATGAATTATTACTTCCCATACTTTGAGTACGGTTACGAGTAGAAGATGGAGAAGATTTGTTGTTATTTGAAGACATTTTTTCTAAAATAAATTTAAAAGAAAATTATAGTATTTACTCGATCCCCATGCCAGGGATAGGTAGAAATATTAATCCACGGAGGAATTAATCAGGCAAATACGGTATCTAAACATTAAAAACTTTATATAATGGAAGGAATAAGTAAAAAATTGTCTACTAGGCATAAAGTGATAATAAAATGCCGAAAAAAATTTAATTCTAAAAAACAAAATTAAATGTGTATATGGGGGAAGAAGACAGAAAATTGAACACTGACAAATGAGACTAAGATTCAAGTCGGGACGGGTTCGTGGCAATTTTTTAAAATTCTTTTTTTTCATTAAACAGGTCCATTCGAACGTTCTTCGAATCTACGATGCCGGGGCAATCAAAGAAGACGGAAATCTCCAAATGGTTTGTAGAGAGAGTTTAAAAAATATTTAAATTTTGAAAAATAATATTGAGAATTTATTTTAAATTTATTAAGAAGAAAATGGAATGATTTATCAAAAAATAAAAAGTAATAAATAAAAGTAAAGAGAGAAAATGAAAAATAAAATGATGAAATTAATGAAACAAATACTACTAAATAATTTTATTAAAAAAAATTTTTTTTTGTAAAATAATAAAAATAAATTAATGGCTTTTTTTATTGAAAAGATGAATAAATAAAATAATATATTTTTAATTTTAATTTATTTTTAAGAGGATTTGTAATTAAAATTGATTAAATTTTAATTAAAATTAACTATATAAAATTTTAAAAAAAGTCAAAATTATATGCAATAATATTTTTTAATATTTTTTGAAAGGCTTTAAATAAAAAGAAGATATAAAGATTTATTTTTTAAATCCTAAACCTTTTCTTCTTCTTTGGTTTCCCAGCGACTATAAAATATTGAGGGGATATTTAGGCGCAGACTTAAAAAGGGGAAAAGACTTGTTAAATTGCAAAATTAGAAAATAAAAATATAAAATTTAAAATAATTCACACAATTTTCCCATCCCTCAGGCCATTCTTAAAGTATCTTCAAAAATGTGAATGATTAACAATTTAAAATTGCCACAATCTAGGAATTATAATTTAGAAATTAATTTAGGAATTACCACAATTTAGGAAAAGTTTTTCAAATTATTTAAATTCCATATAAATTTCAAAAATCTTTTTTTCTCCTACAGTTAGTGCAAAAAGTTATTAGGCGGCTGGTAGTGAACCAGCATCTTCAGTAGACCGGACTGATGTGTTATCCATTACACCACGCCGCCTTACTGCACAGCCTTAGGAATTAAATAGTTATAGGCTTTACATTAACAAAAAATTTTAAACTTTTAATACAGTTATCTGAGGAAATTATTATAAATATTTTAAACTTTTTGGAAGTGTTTTAACTAATTTCTAATTTTATAATCCACCCGAACCGCGCCTAAACGCCCCCTCAAATTCCTCTCTTTTTATAAAATTCTTCTCATTTTTCTTACTTTTCTTCTCATGATATATAATTCCCTCATGAATAATACTTTGAGGGATTTAAACGAGACAAGAAGATTTTTAAAAAATAAAAGGATATGAAAATAAATACTTTTTGAATGATCAAAAAAATAAATATTTGTTGATCTGATTTTTATGTGTAGCTTTGATTGGAATTGAAATTATGAAAAATAATTGTAATTCCTTTAGGATAATTTAACGAAATACAGTTTTGGCTATGCACTTATCTTCACAAAATTAAAAAAAAACTCAAAGATTGTAAAGGCTTGTCTTTCTAATATTGGAATTAATTTAGTAATATTTTATTTTTAAAATAATTTTATTAACAAAACTTTTTTTAATTTTCAGAAAAATTAATTTATTAAAAATTTTTTAAATATAAAATATTAATTCTGTAATAAATTTTTTTTCTTTATTTTCCGGTGCATTAAAGAAATAAAAATATTTAACACAAAATAATTTTTATATTAAATAAATAATTGATAAGTAAATAACTGATAAAATAAAAATTATTTTGCATTTGTAAAAATGTTAAGAATGAGTAATTAATTAATTAAGTACTTTGATTTTTATTTTTTTAATGATTAAATTAATTAAAATTTATTGTTTAATAGACTCAACTATAAAATATATACATAATTTCTAATAAATATATAATTTCTAGTTTGGCTATAAGTAGGGTATGAGCTATCTGTCTACCAAATTTCATCCCGAAGTTCCACGGACACCTCAGGCATCACCTTTGTTAGTGTAGAATGAAAAGGATTTATGTACTCAGAAAAAAATACCAAAACTAAAGGGATGGGGTTTTCAATAAAATAGTAAATGGATTTATAGTACAAATAAAGATTTTAGAAATCGGGATAAAGCTAATAAAATAAAATATATAAGTATATACTAAATGTGATTATGTGATTATGTGAATGAGAAAAAAAAACGTATTTAGTTTCTTTCAAAGATCATTTGATCATAAAATGAGAAAGTAAAGTTTTTTTAAAAAGAGTTAAAAGTCATAAAGTAAATTAAATAAGTAAAGCACACAAAAAACAAAATATATTTATTTATGTAATCCTCTTTTTTGTCACGTTGCTTTTTAAATCTTCGTCATCCTCCTCTCTTTTTTTGTCAATCAATCAAAATTTCCTTTCATTTTTATTTTAATTTCAATTAAAAATTTGAAAATAAATAAAATTAATTTTTTAATAAAAAACTTCAAAAATTATTATCTCAATTAGAAAGAGAATATTTTTTGTCTATAAGGGGTTTCTTGATTTTAGTTGCTAGAATTTTGAAGAATAAGAATACTCCAAACTTTTAACATTAATCTCACAAAATAATAGAAAAAGTATCTGGAGGACGATTGAAAAATAGAATGGCCGGCCATACTATTAGAGGAAATGTATAGCGGCATGAAGAGGTACATAAAGAGGGACATTTATGGAAACCAAAAATTATAAAACATAAGATTGAAAGGAGAAAAAAAAATAAATTTGTTAATTTATTTTTAATAAAAATAAATTTAAAAATGATTAAATAATCTTTGAAACATTAAAATTAATTATTTATTTTTTTTCTAAAAATATTCTTTTTCTTTCAATTAGCTTCATTTTCATTCATTCCAAATTGTTTTCTGTCAGAGAATATTCAATTGATGGATTATTATTTAATTTAGCATTGCCTGTTTCATCAATTATTAACTAAAAAGTTTAATTTAAAAATATTTTTTAATAACTTTTTGAATGGAAAACAAAATAAAAAAGAAAATTCTCAAAAATCCATCAAAATATATTAAACACAAAATTAATCAAAAATTCCGTTTATATTTCCTTCGCGTCTACTTTTTAGGGTTTATTACCAAATAAGGGATCCTTGGTAGGTCCTAACGATTTGGAGAACAACCAAATTAAATTTGGTTAATCTATTTAAAAAATAAAAAAAGATAATTTTGAGGACATAATAAAAAGGGTCATTCTGTCCCTTTTCAACCCATTAAAAATAAAATTCCAAAATATATTTCAAAATTTAAAAATAATTTTACATTATATTTTGTAATTTTCTTTTCATTTTCACTTCCAATTCCTTCCTCTTCTTCTGATTTTTTCGCTTCTTTTATTTTTTTATTTTTTCTTCTTTCAGAACTAGAATCTTGCCAAACCCCAGTTATTGTTATTATACAAATACAAGAAAATAATAAAGAAATACTTGAACCACTTAAAGTTATTAATTTTTGTTTTTCGTTTAATAAATTGTAGTCAGCACTCTAAAAAGGGGGAAAAAAGTAAAAAGTTTAAAGATAAAAGTTTAAAAAATATTTAGTGAATAAAAACTTAAAATCCCCAAAAATATTCTCGAAAATAGTTCCCTTTCATACTCCCGAAGGGATCAAAGAGAGATACTCCCAATACTTCCAAATTCATGTTTAATCCTCAAAGCAATCGGGACTTATGTATTAGCACAAGATACCTATTTCATTTAATTTGGTCGATCACTAGATTGGGAAGCTCCCTAAGCGATACCTCCTATTTACGATTAGTGTTCGACAAATGGGTTTTTTCCTTATTAGGTACGTATACCGAGAAAATTCAACCCAAAGAGTTAAACGTGTTTTCTTGCTGTACAAATTTTATATTTTAAAAATTCATCTGGCTATTTCATAAACAATAGCCTAAAGAACTTTTTAAGAAATTTTCTGATTTTTTCCATGCCTGTATTGTCAAAGAAGAAAGTACTGCAGCATACAAAGAACGCCAAAAACTTTCAGGGATTGCAAACCAATAAAGAATTAAAGCAAATATAATTAACCAGGAACAGTAAATAATACAAACAAAAAATAATAATAATGTTCGGTGATCAAAAGTTGACGACGAGAAATGTTTCTAAAAAATTAAAAAAATGTTTTATTTAAATAATGTCTTTGGATACGAGAAATGAGTATAAAGCTGAGAAAAGTCAAACACCCAATATAGATCAATTCAAGATTTTTAAAGTATCTTGGCTATGGGCTAGACAGAGCTGCCTAATTGATACTCTTATTTAAAATATCCCCATTATTAGTGTCTGCCCCAAGGTTCGATTTTATAAAGCCTATCGGCTCTAGCTCCCTATCACAACCCTAAGAGGTACATTTTTTTATTTTAAATTAAAATAAAAATTACATTTTTTGTTACAAGTTGAGATAAAACACGGCAAAGGTTCAGTAAACGATATGAGATAACAATTAAAGTAAATACAAAAAATGGAACACCCAAAACACAATAAAGCAATGCAAAAACCTTTAAAAATAAATTATTCTCTCCCTCTCTTTCTAAATATTTTTACCTGTCCACCCCCAGTTTTAGGCGAACGATGTCCATGCCCTATTGTTGTAATTAATCCCCAACAATAAGTTAAAGAATTTTCTAAAGTCCATTCATTTAAATCAGGCATTTTAAGTTCTAATTGTTGCTCGTATAGAGATAATAAATTAACTATTTCTCTCTTTAAAAATAAAAAATAATTTTCTCATTGTATTTTAAAAATAATCAATTTACTTGAATTCTTTCAGAACTATCATAATCTACAATAATCAACATATTTCTAGTACCATTAAATATAGCTGAAGATATTTGTCTCGAAAATTTATTTCTTCAAAAAAATTTATCTTTGTATTTTTATATACAATCTAACCTCTCTGTAAGATACACCCAATATTAGATAAGGTACGGTTTTTAAAATTTGGCTGGTTATTAGATCAAGAGAAATGCCTAAGAGGTACTAATAGGTTTTTCGTTGTTGAGATTATTAAATCCTAAATATAGTTCGTTTCAGCTTGTCAAAGTACATCTAACCATACCCGGGCGCCCCGGATTCAATAACTAGTTCGGCGGTACTTTGGGCTGCCTAAGCGATATCCCCAACATATTTAAAATATCCCTCATTAAAAGGTATGATTTCTTCATTTCCAAGGATGTATCTTATAGTGAGGTCCTACTTTAATTAATTTACAAATTACCTATTAATTATTAAATTAAAGAAAAATTTCCGAACCTAAATAAAAATAATTTTAAAAAATTAATTTTTAATTTAAAAACCATAATTTCATGATTTGTATGTTCAAAAAATAAAAAAGCAGAGGCACCAAGAATTAAATAAACAAACAAAGAAAGCAAAAGAAGTAAAGGGCCAAAATTACGAATTTGATTTTCTGCTCTTCGAGAAACTTTTGGAAGTCGGGGTTTTGACAAATAATTTGTTCCTTGGGTTATTACTTTGAAATTTATTAAAGGGAGATAATTCTTCTAATTAATTACCAGCTAAACGGGCAATTGTTTCCCTTCCTCTATTTGCCCATTCATTAACAGGCCGCCAAACAGTCACTAAAGGATTATTCCTTCGATTTTTCCAAAAATATTTTTTATTATTTTTATTTATTTTTGTATTGTCCTCAACTATTTGTTGTTGTAATTGGGTATTTTCTTGAATACTTTCTTCCTCATTTTTATTATTTTCGTTTTCCTCTTCATCAATTATTATTGTTATGTTTGCCTCATTCATTGTTTAATAGAAGCTTAAAAGGATTTTATAATTCATCATAAAACTTTAAATTAAAATTTGTTTAAAAACACTCATATAAAATACAATATGGAAACATTTAAAATTATTTCAAAAAATAAATTAAAAATTAAAAATTTATAAATTAAAAGAGAAATTTATTTTTTCTAAATAAAAATGACCAAAACTGACAAAATTTCGTGCAACAATTTTAATTTTCTTTTTTCATTTCCAATTTTTATTCTCAACATAAAAAGGGCTTTTTACTTCCACTTCCTTTAAAAATCCCAACAAAACTTGAGGGAAAGAATGTCCAGTCAAAAATTTATATTGGAAAATTTCTTCCCCCTCAAAAGCGCGAAGAAAAATAAAAAAGAAAAACAAATAAAAAAGAATTTTGGATGTTTTTTTTTTCTTCCCCAATTTGTGCCCAATTTTGGGGAATTTTGGGGAGTTGGAAGAAAGAATTAACAACAAAATTTATTTAAAAAAGCTGGATTTTCTTTGGGTAATTTTTGATAGAAAAAAGGAAAAAATGGTAAATAAATAAATTTATTTTTATTTTTTGTCAATACAAATTAGTTTTGTAATGTAGATATATTTTTATAGGAAAAATTAATTTTATAAAAATAAATAAAAAAATATTTAATTAAAAAAATATTTAAAAAGCTTGAACAAAAATAAACTTTAAAATACATACATATATGTTTTTATTTCGGCTTAGACTCGGTAGTATAAAATATTAATCCGGCAAAATTTATACTCGTTAAAGAGAGAATTAAATGAAGTTTCTAATAAAATAACAAATTTAACTGAGAAAATGGTTACTAAATTTCATTTCAGATACTCTTGCCCCCCTATCTTTATGTCGATGACTGTATATATTAAGGGGTTTTTATTAAACTTTTTTTAAAACCTAATAAAATTTGAAACAAAAGCTTCTTTAAAAATAATTACTTATTTAAATGTTTAAAATAAATAATTCCAATTTTTATTATTTAACTCAGCATACCCCCATCAAATTTTAATTAAAAACAAAAATATGTATTTAAAACTTTATTTATTAAAAAAAAATTAAAACAATTTTAGGCACATAATTATTCCAAATAAATTAATTAATATCCAAAAATTAATTAAATTTAAGTAATTATTACTGCTATTTTCGATTAAAGAAGAATGATAATTTTTTCGACGTCTTCCATGAAATATTTTTTTCCTTTTATTTTGATTGTTAGTTGATTGAAATAGTAAATTTGTTGAAGAACTTAAAAATAAATAAATTTTTTTAAATATTTTTAAAGAATTCCCCACCCAGACTGACACCAACAAATTTTCTTTAGTTCATTATTTGTTTCTAAACAACCAAAAGAAGAAAGACGCGAAACAGAGCCCAACAAATTTTTATTTGATATTTTGTTTATTTCTCGTTTGTTTTGAATACAAGTTTCTTTCTTTGAATGTTTTGTTGAATTTACTGGAAATTTGTTTTAGTTGTAGGAACCAGTACTTATAAACAGCCCCCCTCTATTAGTGCCTTGTAGTGATCGGAATTTCATTCAGTACAGTCATACCAATGGAAAATACCAATAAAATACCCATAATAACGAAATATAACCAAAATACCGAGAAATACTGTCGGTAGTAGGTTACCGTCCGATCACTAGTTCCTTGGTGGAATATCAATAAATGATAGCTCATTCGATGCGGCTTAACGAGCTAAGTTCAATATATTAGTCAGAATATGTATGGTAAATCGCGCTATCTTATAATTTTTTTGTTTAAGCAAGTACCTACTGAAAGAATTAATCCCGTAGAATTTTGCGTGAGATTACATTCCGGGCCTGTTACTATATGCGATAAGACAGATTTTTGGAAGCAAAAAAAGGAAAAAAAACCCCATAAAAGTAATTTTCTAACCTTTATTTTGAACAAAACAAAATTTACTATTTAATTCTTCAATTAAAATATTTAAGCATTTATTGCAATAATTACAATAATTTTTAGCATTAGTATTTGATTGCCTTCTTCCTCCATTAGAATTTTGAGGTAAATTATTATTTAATAATGAAAGTGAAGTTAATTGGGATTTACTTTTATCAATAATCTTTAAATTTTTAATTTTTATTAAAAAACTTTTTTCCTTCTCTTGCCTGTTGAAGTGGCAAAGAGCTATTTCTTTGACGAATGCCGTGTGAGCTAATTACAGCCAAGGGAATTGTTGTGAGAAAATAAAAAAATAATACAAAAATAAATTGAAAACCGATAAACATTTTTTTGAAAAATTGTTATTCGAATTTTAAGTAAATTTTTTATTTTAATTGTTTACTGAAAGATTTAAAATTTAAAAAATTCAAATTTAAAAAAAACTTTGGACCTTCCATCTAATCTCTATTGAACTAATTTTATTAGTAAATATTTTTTAATAGAAAGTATAGTTTCTAGTGAAATTTTTTGGGCATTAAGAAGGTGAAATCTAATTTTTATTAATGAAATATTATTGGGGAAATTTTATTAAACCTGAATTCTTTTAATTTTTTATTATCTGAAATGTTTTCAACAAAATTATAAAAATGTAACTTAAAATAAAATTAAAAATTTATTTGTTAATTTAAAAAAAGAAATTATCTTAAAATAAAAAAATTTCTAAAATTAACAAAATATTCACGCATTTTTAAATACTCAAAAATAAAAAATTAAACAAAAAATTATTTTCACTCCTTTTTTTAGAAATAAAAAAAGAAGAGATTCATTTGGCACGAACATTCAATATATTCGAGGAACGCCGACTAGTTAAATATATTTTCAAGAGGAATTTAGAAAATAAAAGAAAAAAGATTGAAAGCCTTGAAAAGATTAATATTTTATTTATTCTGCTAAAAAAAGTAAAGAAAAATAAAAAAAAGTTTTTAAAAGGAATTTTTGATACTTGACTTTTAATAAATAAATAAAATTTTCTGTTAAAATAACTGAATAATTTCAGGATATTTCATAGGGAAAATAAACTAGCATAAAATATCCTCTTAAGCCTGAAAATTTATTTCTTAAACAAAGGTATACATCAGGGGTTGCCGAAACAAATTTTAAAAAGCAAAAGACGAAACGTCATAAAAGGCAAAAATAAGGCGAAAGACGAAACGGCACATCCCTTGTATATTTACATGTCTAGTAGATGGTTTAGTATTTACAATAAAAATCCGTCCGACTGAATATAGAAAAGAAAAATTTAAAAAACTTTAAAAAACTTTTAACTTTCAGTTCTTCATAAAGATTAGATAAATTTCCTTAACATTTATTTTATCCACTAATTTTATTTATCATTTATCTTCTCTAAATATTAAATTTTAATAATTATTTTGTAAATAATAATTAACAAAATGTGTGAATTTTAAATTATTTCTTTCTCTCTTAAATATTTATTAGGGTTGTTCACTACCGGTTATTAACCGGTACCACCGGTTTTCGGTTTTGACCGGTTTACGACCCCCGGTTTTCGGTTTCGGGTTTAGACTGACCTCCAGTTTTCGGTTAACCTAAACCGGTTTATGCCTGAATTTTTCATCCAGAATATCCAATTCTTATTTTAATCAATTAAAATGTAGTACAGCAGCTGGGCTATAGCCATTCCTCTCCTTTAACTAGTGCAAAAGGTTATTCGGCGTCTCGGAGCGAACCAGCATCTTCAGTAGACATGGACTGATGTGTGTCTGTTTTTTTGTTAAGATACATCTCTTTTTGCGCCGCAGGCGAAAATTATTTTAATTTTGAAAGAGCATTAGCCTAGAATTCATATATTTAAAAATATTAATTACTTTTTTAAAAGAAATAGTTTTCCGGAGCCTGTCCCCGGCACTGACTATACCCAGCTACAAGCCAGATTTTATCTTTTTTTAGCGCCGCAGGCGAAAATTTTGAGAATTTTGGAAGGCCGGAGGCAAAAAAATTCAGTCTTTGACACCGAAGTATAAGGCCAAAAACAGATTTATTCCTTTTTAGCAGCGCTGCCAAAACTTTTAGAATATTTAAAATAAAAGTTAAAAACTTGAACAGTATTTATATTTGAAAAACAAAATATCCCTTATACTACTATTCTTGGATTCGAACCAAACACTAATACGGTTATTGGCCAAAAACACCGGTTTTCGGTTTCTGTTCGGTTAACCGACCGTGAACAACCCTAATATTTATTTTCAAATTTATTTTATTTATAAGTCACTTCTTCATTTTCCTCCACCACAAATGAAGAATTGGATGGAGAAAAAGTATTTAGGAGTAAAGAAAAGAGGCGGGCGAAACAAAATATATTTTAAAAATATTAATGGAGATTTTCATTTTAATTTAAAAAAATATTTTGTTTAAAATATTTTAATCAAAAAATTAAAATTTAAAGAAATTATGAATTCAAAACAACAAAAACAAATTAATTCAAAAAAATTATTAAAAAATAAAAAAGAAAACAATTCAATGCCTCTTGAATTGCTAGTTGATATATTTAAAGCGTCAACATATCCAAATAATTTTTTGGATCATTTTACAAAAAAATATTTTAAAATGTAAGTCAAAAATTAATTTTAAAAATTAATCGGTAATACGGTACCGTCCAATCACTCTTGTTGTGCCAAATTAATTTTTAATTTCTGATTAATTGTATATAATAAAAGAATGATTGCAGTGAGATAAAATTTAATATTAAAAAAATTTAAATTAAAGTTAATCCTCATCTCATTTATTAAATACGGAGAGCAACTCAAAATTGAAAATTTTTAAAATAATTTTTTAGTTTATCTATTTACGAGAAACGTGCTTTAATGGCAAATAAAAAAGCTTGTTTTTATAAATATAAAATGCAATTATTTGGAAAGTATTGGAGAAAGCACATTAAAATTCTGTTAACTACTTCCAAAATTATTTATTTTTTTATTGGAAAAATTTTGATAAAAAGAGAGGTAATCTTTTAGATTGATTTGTGGAAAATAACGTTGAAAATTTTAAAAATAAATAAAATTAGCCCTCATTTACATATCCTCAAAAACCACTTTTAAGGTTTCCATGAATAAAAATCTAAGCTCCTGAATTTATGGGTCGAAATCCTCGTTTAAACATAATTTTTCATGAAGATTTTTTAATCGAGAGAGTGAGATTTTTGTAAATTTTTATATCCCATATAATTAATCCTTCTGATTGATTTAGTTGACAAAAGGCATCAGATTAAAATGAAATTGGGGGAGAGGAATTGTTTGGGTCAAAATATCTTAAACTTTTTCAACTTACTTTTTAGAGACAGTTCTTTATTGCAATAGGTCGTAATCGTAATGGATTAAAAATTTTTAAAGACATTATGGAAGGCAAATATGACCTAAAACGGATGGTGAGCTTGTCATAGATTTAATGATTATTTATACATAGCCGAAAATTTCGTCTATTCTATTTACTAAAACAAATCTCTATTATTTTAGTAGAAATTTTTCTGTTAATTTTGAAAATTGTGTTCTGCTCATCTTCTGATATTTTAAATCCAGAAATATTTTGGTATTAAATACCTAGCTCATAAAACTTTTCAGTTCGGCTTACTAAGAAAAGATATGTTTCCTCGTTCAGCTGTTCTGAAATACATCCGTCCCCCAAAAGAGTCTCGTCTGGAATTCTCTTTTGACACACTTTCTTGTGTTCAATAGTTCAAATTAGGGTAGCTCCCCGAGCATTCGGGGTCGAAAGTGTCGGGGATCGGGGTTTGCCGGAGATGGCATGTCGGGTTTCGGGGTCGGGGTTTCATTAGCAATTCTTAAATTTAAATTTCAGCGCCGCAGGCGAAAATTTTTTTATTTTTAGCTGCAGAATGCACTCAAAATCGTCATTTTAGCGTTCAAGACGCAAAAACATGTATTTATAAATAAAAGAATGTGCAGATTCTTTTTTATTACACCCTCACTTTTGATAATATTTAAAAATAAGTTTGCAGGTTTAAGATCAAAATTAAAAGCCTAAACTTCATTTTTGGAACAAAAAAATCTAAAATAAATTTGATCCTCATAGTTCGATTCGAACCCAACCGTATGAACAGTGTTGCTCATCATCTTACCCACTAAACCAAACATCTCTCTAAAGATAAACGAAAAATTATTATATATATTTTGACATTTCTAATAATTTGGGAAGGTGGCACGAATTTTCGTCAAAGGACCTTCCGTCAATGGACTTTCCGTCAATACTTTTCGTCAATGGACTTTCCGTCAACGGACTTTTCGTCAATGAATGGATGTTTTTTATTAATTTTAAGAGAAAGAGAAGATGATACATGTATGTATATAAAAGTGTAAAACTTTTGGTTAAATCGTGTCAGATTGAAAATTAGACTGTTTTGAAAATTCTGGACACAGATATGAGCAACTGAATTTTCTCTGGGCAAACTTATTTTTGTGTTGCTACGAAAGATGGGTAGGCTTTTCAAGGCTGAAAATCGGTAAAAAGGAATATGTTTATGTTTCGAGCTCAGAATCCAGCGACCGTTGACTCCCTGCGAGGCGCGTGCCGCAAAACGCCTCGTCGTTGCCCCATAAGTTTACGTTGTCCTAAATTTTTTAAAAGCGTTCATTTATTGATGAAAAGTCCGTCCATTGACGAAAAGTATTGACGGAAAGTCCATTGACGGAAAGTCCGTTGACGAAAAGTCGGGGAGCCTTTGGGAAAAATATTTTGTCAAAATGTATTTTGGTCATTCAAATTTCCGAAAAATTCCCATCTTTAGGGGTGTATGTTTTACCCCGACCCCGACTCGGGGCTTGTCGGGGTAAAGCCTTCGGGGTTCGGGTCGGGGTTTTTACCAAAAAAATCGTCGGGGTAGGGTCGGGGGTCGAGGTTTTGAGGGACGGGGAGCTACCCTAGTTCAAATTCTTAAATCAATCAGAGCTTCTCTTTATTACTAATGGTTAAGCCCCAAAAGAACTCCGAGTATATTTTAATGAGACTCTTTTATACACTATAAATATAAGCTTTTTTGTCTTTGAATTATTTAAAAGTGATTGTGAAAATATTCTTAAAAAGGAATGGGCATTAACATTTGTGTACCCATTTTTTTAGTATAACACAAAGTAGTATACATTCTAAAAAGTTTATTTTTGGCCCTGTTGTGACTGATTATAACAAAATTAATTCAGAAATCGTTTAGAATCTTACAACTCCAATTACTACTACATTCTTTTTATAAACATCATAAAAATAAATACTAATACATAAATATCTTTGTATCCTTTATTTTCTTTAAATAAATATTAGATGGAGGAACTTGGTGCAAACGTACCCGGAATGGATGTTGACCTTGGTTTGGAAAACATTAATTTCAACTTTGTGGTATTTTTTATTTTTTTTTGGGATCGTATTAATTTGAAATTTAATATTGAGTTCATATCCGTGAAATAGAGCTAGGTCTTGGTCATTTTTAATTTGATAGCTCTTAGGATTTTTGATAGCTCTTAGGATTCTGTAAAGAGTTTTCTGTTAGTTAAAATTTTTCTCACCCCTCAATGCATATTATCAGTTGAAAGGAATCAAAGTTAGTTTTTTATAATATCTGAAGGAAGGGCTTTTTCTAGATATCTTAATTTCGTCTATTTAAATATTTTATAGAGTCAACAAGATCATCAGATATTATTTAATAAATGGAAAATTGTCTCCAAAAAATTGAGGGAAAAGTTAGCTACTCGTAAGAATAAAAATATGAAGGGTAAATTTCTTTTAATTATTTTAAGCTACTGCGGGGCAACAAATTCAGAATGTAGCCGAACAGGGGAATATTAAAAAGAAAAGACAAACATTTATTCCACTAAATGTTGATGGTCGATGTCCGTTGTGTAATGAAAAGCAAGGCGCCAATAATTGGGCCCGACATTGTTCAAGAAACCATAAGGATTTTATTCTGTCTGATGACGTTGTTGTTGCCGCAGGAAATGAAGTTTGTTATTTACTCTGTTTTAACGGGTTTAATTTATGAATTTATTTTATTTCCTTTTTTGTTCAAATTCGAAAAAATTTCCGTAAAAATTTGGTAATGGTTTAGGAATTTTACCTAGGCATACTATTGTTAATTTGTTCTGACTAACATTTTTAACTTTTTTCTCAGGTTCATTCATTTGTTGTTCGATTCTTGGAAAGTCTGGGTTTAAAACCTGACCCAAATAATGGATTTAACTCACCACAACATATTGCAAATCTTTTTGCCTTTGCAGATACCGATGGCTATATTGTGTTTGTTTAATTCTTTTTATACTTATACATATAATATTATTCTAGTGATGGATTAGGAAGTTTAGAAATGACCGCTACAAAAATTGCGATGAATGATATAAATGTAGAAGGTTTTTAATATAGGTATACGATTAAACATTTAAAAACACTTCTTTGAGGACAACCAATTGTTGTTGAAGAAAGAGACGGTATTGCAATAATTGATGGCTCTAATCTTTTGGGGGTAACAGTTGGGAATTATTGTGCTTCCAAAGCCATGCATTTGGCGAGTCGTTACGGAATTGGTTTTGTTGTTGCGAGAAACACTAATTCAATTGGGCCTGGACAATTCTATGCAAGACAAATGGTTGAACATGGGATGGAAGTAAGCAAAGAATTATTTTTACATAATATAATCTTTTTGAATAATTTAGAAATTTCTTTCTATAGTTATATAATTTTTCCAGAATCCCTGAAAATGAATTTGAATATGTCGGTTATACTAAATTTAATCTATATTTAAGTAAAATAAATTTTTTTTTGCTTTTCCTGAATCCACAAACTCAGTTCTGATTATTTAAATCTTTTTGTCTTTTTATCGGGTACACAAAACTTAAATTCCAAATCAAATTCTTCTTTAAGCCCAGGAAGCCTTAAAGATTTGAGATTCAAAAACATCCAAAAGCGAATCGAATAAATGAATTTTCGGTCTTCGATAAATTCGTTTAAGTTTGGTTAATCCCCTAGCATTTGTAGTAATGGGACAAATAAGTAATAAGAAAAAGAAATTCAACGTTATATTTTTTATTTTATATATTGTTTTTAAAAATAAAATTACAGGGAATTGTTATAAATGAGTCTGTTTTGAGCTATGCCTTCAATCAACAGACATCTGAGATCGAAGAAACTAATATTTGTGCTGAAAAAAGACGCTTCTTCGAATCTTTAATTGGAAGAAACACAGAAGAAAAATTGGTTTGCCGTTTTATTACAAATTTTTAATATTTATGTTTGCGAATCCTTTGATTTTTGTCGGGGCTGAGGGTCCCTAAATGAAGTAATTATTTGTTTTGATTTTATCAATTTTAAAACATCTTACATAAATTGATTTATCTAAATTGACTATTATTTTTAAGGACAAATGTTTTATAGTCAAAAATAATAATATGCCTTATGTTAACGAATATTTACAGCAAGGATTTAATATTTTCAAAAGATCATTTCGAAACCAGGTAATATTTCTTTTTAGATTAGTAATTTGATTTTTGGTTTTTACGGTTTTGTTTATTCATTTGTCTTTAGAAATTCTTTTTCGACTATTTTTGAAAAGTTGAAAGCAATAATTTTATTAGTGTAGAGTTTATTGAAACTTTAGCTATATTTTCACTGTTTAATTAAAATACACTTATAGATTCAACCTAATATTTTATGCTTTTAATTTTAGTATCACTCTTAAATTAATATTTTAAGTTGGTTTATCCTACTCAACGAGTGCTGGTTTACAACGAGCGATGTCGAAGAATCGGAGGAGGATTTGTTTATCTAAAGCAAATGTATGACAGCCTTGTAAGTTTATATTTAAAGTTTTTCCAAATTGAAAAAAAATTTTATTTCCAAAAAATATTTAAACCTAAAATTTCAACTAACAATAAATAAACTTTTTTAGAAAGCAATGGCAGATGATTGTAATGTTGCGATGTTTCCGCTTATTCCGGATGAGACGATCAGAGGTTATCTTAAATAAGAACTAAGTTTATTCATCAATTTATTTTTTAAAAAATAATTCTCTTATATTTAACTTTAACATTCTTATTTTTAAAGTCTGTTTCAATGTTATGTATATATTTATTAAGTTCTTTTAAGGGGGCTAAATAGGCCCCTTAAGTTCTTAAAGGGGCTAAAATATTTTTTGGAAATTTCCGTTGATTTTTGGTTGATTTTGCTTTGGCGAAAAAAAATCATTAATATTTTTTATTTTTCTTTCTTTTCTAACCATTATTAAAAGTTTCACAGGAATTCTTTTTAGTATTTCTCCATCGAAAATAAAAGCCACAAAAGATTTTTAAGGAACACTGAAATTCTGAAAGAAATATTCGAACAGAAATTTCTCAATCGAAACAAATTTTCTTATAATATTGAAACAGGCTGTACATTCTTTTTAATTTAAATAAATAAATAATTTCCAAGTTTTTTTATAATCAGTAAAATTTATTTAAAAATAACGTCAATTCTTTATTCTGTTGGAGGTTACAAAAAAAAATTATTTTCCTTCAAGATAAATTATTAATAGTTACTGTCTATTATTTTAAAACATTTTTTAAGCTCAAATTCTTTTCTGTAATTAAATCAGAAATACAAAAATAAAACAAGAAATACACCGCTGAAATATTTTTTAAATTTTATATAAAATATTTTTCCAGAAAATAGAATTATTTCTAATACATATTTAAAAAATCTCTAACAGTTAAAAAATTTTGACCCTATACGCAAATAAGGGGGTATCTTTTTTATCCTTCCTTTTTTCCTTTCCATATTTTTCCTTATTTTGTACATTATGGTCAGACTTTTCCCTCGTTTACTTCCAATGAATTTCCCTATGGCTTCTTCAAATGAAAAGACTGACAAAACACTGACGAAGACGGACAAACCGTATAGGGCCAAATTATGCGTATAGGGCCAAAATTTTTATTAATTCCAAGCAGTTCTTTTAACTTCAAATAATTTATTTAATTGTTGTGAGTCTAAACGAGAACTTTCTGCACGAATTCTAAGCATACTTTGCCTTAAATTTGAAGCGATTGATTATTTTGTCATGCCCCGAATCCCGGGGAAAATCAATGTCCCGAGCCCCGACTTAAGGGATGTACTCGAATGTTTGGGATAAGATCTCTAAGAGTTAAAAATATATTAAAAATAATTTATTTAAAAAAATCAAAACAATTTTAGGCACATAATTATTCCAAATAAATTAATTAATATCCAAAAATTAATTTTAAATTTAAAGAATTATTACTGTTATTTTCGATTAAAGAAGAATGATAATTTTTTCGACGTCTTCTATGAAATATTTTTTTCCTTTTATTTTGATTGTTAGTTGATTGAAATAATAAATTTGTTGAAGAACTAAAAGAATAATAATTTTTTTAATTTTTAAAAATACACATACTCATAGTCAGCTTGACACCAACAAATTGTTTGGGATAAGATCTTTCGATAAGAAACAGAGCAGAGCCCAACAAACAGAGCAGAGCCCAACTTTTTTTGGGATAAGAAACAGAGCCCAACAAATTTTTATTTGATATTTTGTTTAATTCACGTTTGTTTTGAATACAACTTTCTCTTTTTGAATGTTTTGTTGAATTTACTGTAATTTGTTTTAGTTAAAGGGAAAGTACTTGTAAAAGCCTCCTCTATTAGTGCCTTGTAGTGACCGATAAATACCGATGGAAAATACCAATAAAATACCCATAATACCGAAATATGTATAACCGAAATACCGAAAAATACTGTCGGTAGTAAGTTACCGTCCGATCACCAACAAATGATAGCTCATTCAACGTGGCTCAACGAGCTACGTTTAATTATCACATATATTAGTCAGAATATAGTAATAATAAATCGAGTTATCTTCTAATTTTTTGTTTGAACAAGTAACTACTGAAAGAATTAATTGCATAGAATTTCAACGCGAGATCACATTTCGGGCCTGTTACTACAAGCGATAAGACAGATTTTTGGAAGCAAAGAAGGAAAAAACCCCCATTAAATTTATTTTCTAACCTTTATTTCGAACAAAACAAAATTTAATATTTAATTCCTCAATTAAAATATTTAAGCATTTATTGCAATAATTACAATAATTTTTAACATTATTTGATTGCCTTCTTCCCCCATTAGAATTTTTAGGTAAATTATTATTTAATAATGAAAGTGAAGTTAATTGGGATTTACTTTTATCAATAATCTTTAAATTTTTTAATTTTTATTTAAAAAAACTTTTCTCCTTTTCTTGCCTGTTGAAGTGGCAAAGAGCTATTTCTTTGACGAATGCCGTGAGAATTAGAACTTTTTGGGGAAATTAACAATAAATTTTAGCTCTTCAAAAAGATTGTACATGTTATGTACAATAAAAATCCTTCCAACTGAATATATAAAAGAAAACTTTAAACAATTTTAAAAACTTTTAACTTTTCAAAAACATTACATAAATTTTCACAGCATTTATTTTATACACTATTTTTATTTATCCTTCACTTTCCTCCACCACAAAGGAAGAAAATTTATTTTATAGGTTCTTCACTTTCCTCCACCACAAAGGAAGAATTGGATGGAGAAAAAGTATTTAGGAGTAAAGAAAAGAGGCGGGCGAAACAAAATATACTAAAAATATTAATGGAGATTTTCATTTTAATTTAAAAAAATATTTTTTGTTAAAATATTTTAATCAAAAAATTAAAATTTAAAGAAATTATGAATTCAAAACAACAAAAACAAATTAATTCAAAAAAATTATTAAAAAATAAAAAAGAAAACAATTCAATGCCTCTTGAATTGCTAGTTGATATATTTAAAGCGTCAACATATCCAAATAATTTTTTGGATCATTTTACAAAAAAATATTTTCAAATGTAAGTCAAAAATTAATTTTAAAAATTATTGTAATTAAATGTTAAAAATTAATTAATCGGTAGTACGGTACCTTCCAATCACTCTTATTGTGCCAAATTAATTTTTAATTTCTGATTAATTGTATATAATAAAAAATAATAATTTTCAGTGAAATAAAAATTAATATTAAAGGAATTTTAAATTGATTAAAGTTAATCCTCATCTCATTTATTAAATACGGAGGGCAACTCAAAATTGAAATTTTTTTAAATAATTTTTTAGTTTATCTATTTACGAGAAACGTGCTTTAATGGTAAATAAAAAAGCTTGTTTTTATAAATATAAAATGCAATTATTTGGAAAATATTGGAGAAAGCATATTAAAATTCTGTTAACTACTTCTAAAATTATATACTTTTTTATTGAAAAAATTTTGATAAAAAGAGAGGTAAACTTTTTGACCTAATAGAAGGTAAAATAATGTTTAAAAATTTTGAAAAATAAATAAAATTAGCCCTATTAAACAGCTAACACCTTTTTTTAGAGTAATTAACAGTAAAATATGAATAATAGAATTTTGGGTTATGTTAAATGATTGAGTTATACAAACACAATAATATCAATATACCCCATCATTTATTCATTGTTTTACCTCTTAAAAGTAATTTGATCAAAAAAAGACTAATTTTGGGTTCCAAGAGTTTAATTTAGTTATTTGACCTCTTATAAAAGGAGTGTTTATGTATTTCCATGAATAAATCTAAGCTCCGTCATTCAAATATAATTTTTTATGAAGATGAGTTAAATTTTTTATGTTCTTCCATCCCTTAATTTAAAAATGAGATTTTTCATAAATTTTTATACCCCATAATTAATGGTTTTTGATTTAGTTGATAAAAGGCACCACGCATAAGGCGGAATTGGGGAAGTAAATAAGTAAATGATAAAATTGTATAGTCAAAATTATCTTAAAATTTTTGAAATTAATTTTTAGAGACAGTTCTTTATTGCAGTAGGTCGTAAGCATAATGGATTAAAACTTTTAAAAGACATTGTGGAAGGCAAATTTGACGTGAAACGGATGGTGAGCTTGTCAAAAATTTAATAATTATTTTTAGTCAAAATTCTGGCTATTTTCTCTCATATACCTAAGCAAATCTCTTATTATACTAGTAGAAATTTTTTTGAAAATTTTGAAAATCTTTTATGTTTAATCTCGAAAGGTTTCTATTGGTTAAATATTTCTTATCCCCCTCAATATATATTATTATTCGAAAGGAAATCTGGAAGCAGGACAAATTTTTCTAGATAACTAAATTCTCGTTTATTTAAATATTTTTATAGGCCCAAGAAAAACACAAAATATCAAAAAACAAGTGGAAAATTGTTTGTCGTAGTTATAAGAAATTAAAGAAAGATACTCGCGATAAAAATACAAAGGGTAGATTTCTTTAAATTCACACTATAATTAATTTTAAAGTTGCTGCGAGACAACCCTTTCCTGTTCAGGATGTAGAGGAGCAAGAAAATAATGAGAAACAAAGCGCCAATAATTGGGTCCGGCATTGGTCGAGCAATCTTAAAGATTATCTTTTGTCTAATGAAGTTGTTGTTGCAAATGCAAATGAAGTTTGTTTTTTACTTTGTTTTACGAATCCATGTTTATTTCCTTTTATGAAATTTGAGAAAATTCGGGGATATTGTGACTTATATTCGGGACTTATATAAGCTTTCTGGGGTTCTTTGTTATTTGAAAGAGCTCGCAAAGCCTAGTCTAATAAGGTGAGGATTAAGTTGATCCAACATTCCCTGAACGAGTTACAGGTTTTTAAAAATAGAAAACATCAGAGGTTCTATGGAAAAACTGTTTTGCCCCTTTAAGTCACAATATTCAATTTTGGTAAGACTGTGGTGTTGATTATGCCTATCTTCCCATTTTATTATCTATGTTCACTCTAACCACAGTATTTATTGTAAACTAAATTTTAAAACATTGTCTAAAAGATTTTGCCCTAAGATTTTGCTGGTTATTGTCTTCTCGGTATGATGTACTCGATAATTATACCGATTTAATTTATTGTGGTCCTTTTTGTAAATTTGATAGTTACATAGCCCATGCTATTATTAATTTGCTTT